TCAAAAACAAAAATTTTTTTTTTGTCTGGGCACAGTAGCTAGGTATGGTGGCATAGTCCCAGCTACTTAGGAGGCTGAGGTGGGAGGATTGCTTGAGCTCTCTGAGGTCAAGGCTGCATTGATCCATGATTGTGCCACTACATTCCAGCCTGGGCAATTGAGCCAGATCTTGTCTCAATTTTTTTTTTTTTTTTTTTTTTTTTTTTTTTTTTTTTTGGTATTTTTGTACATATAGAGTTTCGCTATGTTGGGCAGGCTGGTCTTGAACCCCTGGCCTCCAGTGACTTTCCCTCCTTGGCCTCCCAAAGCACTGGGATTACAGGCATGAGCCACCACGCCTGGCCAGTACATCTATTCTTTTAAAAAGTTTCTTATTTTGGAGACAGGATCTTGCTGTGTTGTCCAGGCTGGAGTGCAGTGGTGGGATCTTGGCTCACTGCAGCCTTGACCTCCTGGGCTAAAGCAATCCTCCCACCTCAGCCTTTTGAGTAGCCAAGACTAGATGTGTACCACCATACCCAGCTATTTTTTTTATAGAGACCAGGTCTCACCATGTTGCCCAGCCTGGTTGCAAACTCCTGGGCACAAGCAATCCTGCTTCAGCCTCCCAGAGTGCTGAGATTATAGTCATGAGCCACTGTGCTGGCCTAAAAAAAATTTTTTAATCATTGCGATAAGGACCTCTCCTGTGTCCTTTAGTGGCAGCCAGAATGAGCATATAATAGTAAAAATAAACTTGTACTTTATAAAGAAAAAATCCTTGGCCTATTTAGTTTAGTAACATTTATTAGTAATGTTATCATAATAGATTTACTCCTATAGCTTGCATTACTGTGATGTCTGTATGAACCTGTGAAATGGAAAATAAATTACCTTTATGAGACACATTTGCATACGTTTGAGTCTTTCTACTGAAACATTGACAGGTACCAAGTAGCAGATTGGTAGGCTCTATACTACAATGGTGTTATTGAATAGAAGTTTAGAATAGGCCGGGCGCGGTGGCTCAAGCCTGTAATCCCAGCACTTTGGGAGGCCGAGGCGGGTGGATCACGAGGTCAAGAGATCGAGACCATCCT